GGTGTTTATTTGAATGTTTGGTTTACCAGCGTTGGCCCCTTGCTCTCCGAAAACGTAACCATTGACCGAAAGGGCATTTATGCTGAGTTTCTGACTCACAGCAATTCTAAACTTGGATGACTCCATCATTGTTCCTATTCCGAAGACTCTGTTTTTCGGGAATCCACTTAGTCTCCATGCGATGTAAGTCATGATGTCAACTTAAATATGATAAATTGAACGTAAACGTTCTTGGCTTACCCGGTCGCGCTAGAACGATTATCATACTTTTCGGACTACTTTCTACTATATGGGGTATTATCCCTATAGGTATTTAAAATAATAAGATGGGCAAACTTTTAAAGGCATCCAGATTCCGTTGGACGTGGTTCAGTTTAGTTTCGCCGGGCACTAAGGGAGTACTGCAGCACATGATAATGATTGTTGAATTCGCGGCCAGCTTATAATCTGGTACGATTTAAGGTCATTCTTTGACCTACTTGAACCGCCATAAATATCACACTTAGGTAGATATTCACGTGCATTTTGCAAATCTTTAATTTCGGCTTCAACAAGTTTTTCCGATAAATCAATGAGGGCAAGTTCAGTAGCCAACCCCTAAACGAAATGGTAAATATTAGGCTGAAGTGACTTTATTAAGTATGCAGAACGCTGTCGTCATGCCCTCTGGACCGCATCCAATAACCGTTATTTTAATGTTAGTGTATGAAGATTTCTTATCAGCGTAAATGGGCACAAAAACTTTGTCTTTTAGCATTTCCATGCTGAAGCCGGGTACGAGATCAGATGACACTTATTATATAGCGCTCTTTTCGATTGCCCAAAGTAAAGGTTGAGCGACACTTTGAAAAAATAAATGCAGCAATCAGAAATCGTGCCAAAGATCATGTGTGGTCGATGTATTCAGGAGCTTCCAAATACCTTGATCCTTGTCCATAAAATTTCGCATGACAGATTCCTAGCACAAGAATACTCAGAAGAAAGCTGAAAAAGGAAACAAACACGGTAGCTGGCAGGGCGACGAACAACGCCCCCAAGATCACACATTTACAGCTTAAAGATCTAGACGAAAGTTACCAAACACCTCAAATCAGCAAAAGTTTTGGCGCTTGGTCCATTGCGCGTAACAGCGAAATAGATGTGGATTTGCATATCCATACTAAACAGGTGCTGTGGTAATTCCCCGTGCTGACTATACAGCAAACACTTTCTCAGATGCTTTAAGATTGTCCTGTCGTCCAAATTATTTCGGCGGAGTGAAGAGACCGCTGCTAAATGGAGATTAAAGAAGGTCTACTTAGCGACTTCTGGAAAGCAATGAAACTGTCACTCTTTTTTCGACGAAGTTAAAAATATCCCACAAAAAGAGATTTCTCTGACCATCACGCAATTTTCAGCCACGTAATTCTACATACGTTACCTGAATGCATTTTTGCATTTCTGCCAAAATTCGCAGAAGTAGAAAAGACAGTTCAAACGTTAAGTTTTTGGGAAAGAAAGGTTAAGGATCGGGCGACAGGCAGGTGAAATCTGCAAACTTGCTTATACCGCTTCAAGTGCTGCCTCAATTCTAAACGAGGTTATGTACTCCTTGTGGCTTGATCCCCCAGGTGGCCTTGGAGGAGCCTTTGAGATCTCAACACATTTTTTGCAGCCAGATCTCCCAGGCTCGATAACCGATGCTCTAGTGGTACCACAACGTGCAATTAATCAGTTTATATAAGGGAGATAGGCAGTGTCTTTGAAACCCCATTTACAGATAAATTCTGATGAAGTAGCAGATAAAAAAATAATAAAATTTTATATTTGAGGCGCCCGGAGGGTCCTGTTATAGCAAACTTAGTACTGTGGCAAAATAAAACAATACGGACAATTAGTGCTCTGTGTGCGCAGCCATCCAAACAACATAAATTATTATTACAGTAGGCAGAACATTTCACATCCTCTAAAGATTCGTTTTATAATGACAGTGAATAATCTTTGGAAAATATGGTTAATTAAGAAAAAAAAGTAGTGCAAAAACTCTTACAACGAAATCCGGGACAGATTTTAGCGA